TTAAGGTCTACTTATATGATTGTGTGTTTGTAAGTAGCAAAACTGATAAGCAGGAAATGAATGCGATCGCACAAGTAGAACAACATCAATAGCATCCGCAGCACCTACAACAACAGCAGTAGCAACAGCATCACTACCAAGAATAACAACAGTAGCAGCGACAACAGTAGAATCAATAGTAGCATCATCAGCATCAACAATGGCAGCTAAAACAACACTAACAAAAGCAAAAACATTCACATCAACAACATTAGCACGGACGGATTGTTTTTACGGCCGCTACCGATGGAACAAAGACGCGTTGACGTCCTCATATCTCGCGCCTGTGCCTGCAACCGTTGGGTGCAAGTGTAAAACCCCCGCGGCAGAACCCTCTCCGCGATTTCCCAAACAGGGCAGGAGTTGGTCACGGCCGTCAAAGGAAAACGAAAATGATTAAGGACGTGTGATTTTATGTGTGTTACATTAACTTGAGTATACTATGATAGGAACATTTTTATTTTATAATTATCCGGGGCACTTTATTTATTTCGTGATGAAATGAAGCGTTTATATATTTTCTCTTTTGTGAATATTCTAAATACGATAAAAGTAGAAAATTGGGTAAAGCAGGTGTATAAAAGATGCATTCATTCTGGGCATGCAGCGCATGGATACACACACAGGGAAAAAATTAGATTAGCAGTAGATAAGTTTATTAACCGTTGTTGATACCTCATGGAGAGATCAGGTAATCACGGTGTCCCATTATTGTACATTAGCAGTATGCGCTCACCACATACTATTCTTTTGAAAAAGTTTATCCTATAAGCTACGGCTTAGCAATTTTGATACATACACTATATAAAGTGCGGTTCAAAATTGTTAGGGCTTGACGCTGCACAATCGAATCTATTTACTGCGTTCATCACAAACTAAGCTTTAGCCAATTGCTGACCTTCATATCAATAAGCATTTCGTCCTTGGCTTCCGTAAAAATTGCGTCCTTATAAGGTTTCGTCGTCATTTTTGGGCTGTGACCCGATCCGATCGGGGTACAAACATTTTATTATGGTTCTTTCTTTGGGAAGATTGATGTTACTTTAGTTGTAGGATACGACGGCTTGATAAACTTGCGGTCCATAAAAATCTTCCGGATAGGCATATCGGATACTTGCAGTTGACTATAACTGAAGACTGTCTCACGCACTATAACGTCAAGATCTAGCCTAGATAGAAGCGGGTGCTCGATCAATCGTTTCCGAATTCATCGAGTAGCCTAACGGTGCTTTGTCGGCAAGAATCACGTCTCGATCGATAAGATTGGATAGTATCAGTCATGTTCCTGCCAAGTCCTGGCTGAAATCATAGACGGTGCCCATTAAACATTAACACTGTCCAAATCCAAATTTGTGTTGGTTGATCCTTAGTCGATCCATCTGATGGGGTCAATTCATGTGATCATTGACCTTAAATGCTAAAAATGCTGATAGATATGGAGGTCTTTGTCCAGCTAGGATTTTTAAGTTACCATGCATACATAGAACTTTATCTGCCACATCGGGACGCATCCCGGTTGAGTAACATCAAAATAATGAGCATTATTGAATTTTGGTCAGCTCATTATTCGAATTAAGTATCGAAAACCTAAACTAGACAGCATCCAGAGTAGACTTCTTTTGCTGTCACGGATTGGTCGCAATCGCTACGCGCATCATAGAAGAGATGTGCGCACTCCTATAGAGCTAATTTAATGATAAAGTCCCTAGGTACACAATCAATTTTGTCGACAACATTCAGACACTAATTATCGCATACGAGTCAGGACAAGATTATCTCTCTAAATATCTGGTGAGACATATATCGCGCGCTAGTTGGCGTACGTCGATTTCTGAAGAAGGAATTGATGAAGTGGTTGTGGTCAGTGCGCTACTCATTTGCATTGACGTCTAGGCCAGGAATCATTGACCAATTAAACAGGGGCGTTCACATATGTCTATAGTTCATTACATACCACTGATTTACATTCCTCTGAGGTGGCATGTAACGGGGCACACCCTTGCGTGAAATTAACGCAAGGGTATCGGTGCCCCGACATACGTACACAAGGCAAGCGAGGAAGCGTAGGTAAGGTAAAAGTAGAACTGTAATATTAATATAATTAAGTCTTTTAACTACTGTCTCTCTGTTTGACTTACCTTAATTATGTTAATATAACTGAGTGTATGGTGACGTCTCGTCACCACTCATTGCGCGCGTCTTGCGGCGATTGGTGGGTTAATATCATCAAGATATCAACCAATGAACAGACTCTTTGGTCGACCCATCTATATCATCACTTTGGTGATATTGTTCAAAGAATATTCAACTTCATATTCTTTATTGTCACTTTCCTTTGAGTGACAATTCCATGTAACGGGCTGCCCCGTTTCATGGCATCCTCGGTTTGTTCTACGGAGCGGGACGCAATACTGTGAGATCTCTTTCCTTCTGCGTGATGACAACATAAGTATTATTATCACGATTGTCTCAATCACTTCAACCGTTATTGACTTGCAACCATTGCTCAACTCACTGTCAACACCACGAGGGCCAGTGCCATCGTGTCGACCTCGTGTGAGCGCGGTCGACTCGGTCCAAGAGACAAGCCGTCTGATGTATCCAATGGCACAAACATTGCTCGATTCTTCACACTAAAAAAGCCGTCGCGAAGGGACCTCGAATCGTCGCCATCACAGCCTCGGTATCACCAAAAGGATTAGCGGGTGAATATCAACTTGGATGCTTCATCTGACTCGCCAAATAAATGCTATACAGTTCGTAGTCATCGTTGTTTTTCGGACCCGCAAACGCGACCGATGCAGCATTTACATTAGCTACACTTGCGTATATTAACTCGTGCACTTCAAGTGGTTGAAGTTGCACGCTGATCAGTAGCGGCAGAGTGGTCACCTGCCACTTGATCTGCATGCGCCTAATCGGCAGCTATACGCACCCGTGTAGTGGCGTTCTTATTTTTACTGCACACCGCAGGGCTTGTTCCTTTGTCACCAATCAACAGTCAGTCAGTCGCTTAAGTAATAATTGATGGTTAGGGGTAGTGATGATGTAACGGGTGATCCCGTTACATGACAATGGCGCAAAATTTAGGTCGATAAAGAACCAATAACGATTGATGATGTTCTTCAATATGTATCTTGCTAGGTAAACATTGCAGGAGTATTATCATCGAAGATTTCATTTGGCACTGATCCACTCATTGGTTGATGTAAACCATGATAGTAATCAAGTAAACCACTAATTGATGATTGAAACACGCGCACTACATGTGGTGAGCGAGTAGCTTTATTTAAAGTTTGTAGGATAATATAACGTGGAGTAAAATTGAAAAACAATTTTGAGGAGATGAAACTTAAAAATACATTCCCTCTTTCCTTTCTTCTAAACGTGTTCGTTTGGTTGACTTTCTTTCTCTGCACGTACAGTAAGTGTGAGGATGCGAGGCACCAGTGTAAGTAGCTTGTACAGTGTCAGTACAACCTTTCGATGCCCCGTCAATCGAGAATGTCGTCCTTGTTGGCCGTTACCGGCGATCAGAGATTACAATTTCACATACTGCCCTTCCGCGTTTTCCTCAATTGGCCTAATTGATCAAGAAATATCTTGTGCTCATGCTTAGCTACATCGATTGTATCTTCTGTCCACCTATATGTCTTCTCCTAGGTCAACAACCATGGTTTGGCGAAATTTATGCGTCTTTGAAATAAACTGTCGTCTTGGTGGGGCGCGTAGAACGACACAGCTTTCACATTGGGTACATCTAGCGTGTGACTAATTCTACATACAGATCCATGCGAGCGCTTATCTTCATTGCAACGTTTGGCTTTCAGTGAGATTTGGGTCATGAAAACGTTTGCAACGACATTTTGCGCTCATCGGGATATCCAGCTGTACTGGAAAAACAGTGCATCAAGTAAGCACGATAGTAACTCGAAGATGCGGGTGAAGCTGCCGATAAGTGTACAGCATACATGAGCGGATGGATACAAACGAAACCAACTGTTTGATTTTAATCAATATACAAGCGCCTAACATTGGCGCTTTCGCGTGTAAGACACAACAAAATAAGTCTTTTCATGACCAAAACGTCTGGCGATTGTAAGCGGTCCGCTCACCCAAAGCTGCTGCTCTTGGGTCCACCACAGCCACATGAACCGTTACGCTCTTCCAACATAGGACCCATCACATCGCCAAAATGTGAGAGGCCACCGAAACGCGTCAACAATTGTCGATGTTACAACAACGCCAGACAAAGCCGCACGTCTCGAGCGCTTTTTGACGTCAATAATGAAAATCAGTCACCAGTCCACACTATTCGACCTATGATGGCAAGAAATGGTCCGGTCACGACCAAGATGGTATATGGTACCGGTGTACCAATTCCCAATCGGAAACGTATAGCGGCAGCGGTCGACAAAGCTGAGACGTCTGGTAGTCGATCGGTGTCGAGTCAGCAGCAGGTGGTCAAAAAGACAAAAGTGTCAGAACGAGCGTTTCGGAAGATATATACACTTGAGTCCGAACAAGAGCTTGCAATTGTGTCCGTCAATAATGACGTGGTCGAAGACAACGTAGCTCGGGACCGAGGAATGTCCAGTCAAGATGTCATTGAATGGGAGAGAGTGTCGCAGCAGACAAGTGGCCTTCCGACCACGAGTGCAGCCACACAAACACTGTGTTTGCCCACTGTGCATTCCACGAAACATCCGGACCTGAATGTAATTACTCCACAAACTGTGGCCAAAGTGTTACAAGGCAACTACGAGACTCACATGACACGATTCCAGCTGCTGGACTGCCGGTTCCCTTATGAGTTTGAAGGCGGGAGCTTGACAGGTGCCAGTTCACTTTGTGACCCCAAAGAGATGGAGACGCAGTTGTTCTTGACTTCGACAAAAGACGACTGGACACGTCCTGTACTCATTTTTTTCTGTGAGTTTTCCGCGAACCGCGCTCCCAAGATGCTACGTCATGTTCGCAACGTTGATCGCAGCTTACATGTGGACTCGTATCCCAAACTCTACTATCCCGAGCTGTATCTGATCGAGGGTGGCTACAAGCACTGTTTTGAGACACTGCGACACGAAATCTGTGCACCTTTTGCATTGTACGTGTCGATGGCAGATAAACGGTTCACTGAGATGTGCCGCCGCGAATTTGCCATTTGATAACGAAGTTGGAAACTGCATAAAACTGTCGCTGGCTGTATTGCAAAGGTGGAGATGTCGGATAAAATTAGCAATTGTGGTCGAGATCGCTCGACTGTATCTGGCATCCGCTCGCTGTTGCAGGAGCTGGCGAGGATGGAAGAAGTTGAACAGATTTGCATCACATACATAGCACTAGATGGCATGCACGATATCAGTAGGTGTTTAGTGGACATGAGCTTGTAAGCATGGAGGGAGAGTATCTGCCAAGTATCTACGTCTTATATAGTGACACCGATCACTGCCAGCGATCAGGCTCTGGAGTCGAGATAGCGGACGTCGCCAAGTCTGTTGAAACGCTGTGCATCGGAAAGCTTTCATCATCTAAGTAACTTGTGCAATGTCTCGCCGAAGCGTGCTTGACGTCCATATCGGGTATCTTTGCTCGACAAAAGTCGCTCTCGATTGATCCACATTGCCGTCACTACTTTGTCGCTGTGTACAATCAAAAAATGGCAAGATTGCGTGTAATAGACCACGGAAGTGCTGACGCGATCCCGTTTAAGCGAACATGCTGCTTAGTGCCAGTGTCAGTACCAGCCGTGGTCGCCTCGGCTGTTTGGGGCCTGCACAAATGCGACTTGAAGACAAAGGAACGGTGGACAAGTCCAGGTTGTTCGCGCCTCATGTCGAATATCAGGAGGCGCTACTCTCGCAAAGGGAGCTACGCTTACTCGGTGCTGATTTGTTGCAATCGCTGCCCTACACTTTCGATTGCTTGCCTTGCAGCGTTGATGATATTACGATAGATGCATGACCTACGTTTTCCGATGCTTGATCAGACATCCTACTTGCTGTCGAAGCTCACTTATATCCAACATGAGGTTACAGCTTACGGTTTGTAAGCTGGCTTACGCTCATGACGGCGCTGTATCTGCGTTGCACTCATTTGGCATAGCCGTTTTCGATCCTTGTCAACTACGGCCGCAAATTGCTCAACCTGGGTTGGCATTTGTCGGCATTGGTGTGCTTGAGCTGCTGCAAAGGGTGCAGTCATTGTGACCTACGCGTATTTCGCCTCCAAATCATGGCACCCGAAGTCCTGCACAGTCTTCTGGACCGATTTGTGCCGGAAGATGAATCTGGAGAATCACAACTTATTGATCATTTGCTGTTCACGGAGAAAGACGGGATGTATGGATGTACACAAAAAATTTACGAGCGACATGATACCGAGTCAGCTGCGACAGCAGTGCAATATCGCATCTCTGCAGTAGCTTCGCTTCATCTTCTCTTGCTATCATCATGACAGCATTGGTCCAGATCGCTTACGATAGTGCAGACTGCCACCAGCCCACTCGAACAGCAGCTGTGCATGTCTCTCGATTTGAATCGTTGCAACATGGCCAGTGCAGCAAGCAAGTTATGTTGATCTGTCTACCGATACATGATCCGGCGATTGTCGACATGCTGCAGCAACTACGTTATACATGTGATGCTCGATTCGATGATCGACATCTTGTCGCTCGACATCTGCTGACACGGAGCAAAATACTCTGACATGGGCACCAATGACATGTCAACAGCTTGTACGAGACAACATCCAGCTCACTCCAGGTCTTGCGAGGCCTCCAGACGGTTTCGCTGTCTGCTTCCAAATGTCTTTGACAGCTATCATCCCTCTACGTCGAAGCCATGACAAACAATCATGTGATTTGAGGTCGGGTCGTTGCGTAACAATTGAGCAACCCACATAGTACGTCGACACTGTAAACCTGCCATGTCGGTAGCTGCGGCTTCTTTCCTCTGGACCGTAGGAGCATTCGGACCGGTGTCGAAAAACAGTTCCGTCCGCATTGCTTACAAACTCACCTTTATACGGTAGCAGAGATGCTGGTAGAGAGAATCGCAGATGACAGGATCGGATCAAGTCCTACTCTTGCTGTTTGCGCTGAGAGCGTCAGGTTGATTGACTACTCGTGACTCACTAGAGTTCCGCCCATGTCATTCGACGAGCCCAATTTGCATCACGCTGCGTTGTCCAAGAAAGACTTTGTCGCTACTACTGAGCACTGGCCGATGCTTCAATTTAGCATGATGTAAGTTCGCGACAAGTAGCTGCGGTGAGGGGTCTGTGCTACAGTGAGTTCGAGATGTTGTCGGCGCTCGACATGAGTTGACCGTTGCGGTTGTTGGGTTTTCACACAAATGAAGAGAAAGAGTGTCGAGTATGTAACTGAAAACAATGCCGGCGGGTCCGGCAAGAGAACCCGTCCACTTTGTGAGGCAGCACCTCCTCTCGTCGCAGAATGGCCTTCACTGCCATGTGCACGTGGACAGGATCGTCTGATCGAACGTGCACAGTTCGCAATGCACAAGTAGCAGAACTCTATTCGTGTCCAAGCTTTGGCTTATCGCTTACCAAGCATCGAAGTCGAAGAGATCCAAAGCCTTTTGTAGCAAACGTTCGAGTTCGCCCAAACGTGATTCCTGAAGTACTAAATACACATGAACGACCGCTCTATTGCGAGTCGCGGGCCTGCAACAAGTATCGCACATGCCGTTGCGGTGGTTGTCTCTAGCGCACCTCGTGATTGTTGCATAAAGTTTTTTTGAGTGGGACAACTGAATTTTAGCTTCTCTCGTTATCTTTTGCCATCTCATATTCTTGACAATGGTAATTGCGAGTTATGCATCAGGTGTTTCATCACATAAGCCTGCGAAGTCTTCGAGCTTCCACACCATAGCGGTCACTTTCTCGTGTGCACTACGACGGCAGGTTTTTTCACTCAACTTTATTATTGCCTCACGAAGTTGCCAAGTCAATATGTGCCGCGTGCACGTGAGGTGTCCACGTTGGGGACAGTTCTCGCAGTATATCGAAGAAGTAGACTTGTCATGATTGTATGACATAGACCTAGAAATACGCATCACCATCACAAAGCTTAATGAAGCGTTCCAGTTTCACTTTAACGACTACACCTGATCGCGCGATCAGAAATGCTCATGCATCAGTAACGAAATCTTCTTCAGGTAAACGAAGTGTGACACTGTTTTTCCGTGTAATACGTGGTGATGCCCAGCAAATATACGATGGTGTACCAAGGCCTAAGCATCACCAGCAAAGTGATGCAATGTCAAATGAAGTATGTCTCGATGCTATTCACGTCCGTTCGCTCGGCTTAGTCCCACTCGCCCCAATCCTCTCCACGCTTACCGGTATCCTCATGTGTTGCAGGAACCGCGTCGGCAACCTTGTCACTCAGAGCGTCCAAAACGGTCTCCTCTGGCACGGCTAGGTCATCGTCATCGCCCCAGTCGAGTGTGTCCTCTACGACCGCCGCTTCTTCCCCCTCGTCCACCTTTAAGTCAGCAAGAGCACCATTCGGCTCTTTGAGGTTCGACGAAGCGCCTGACGACGTCGACTCTTTGCGCTCATTCAGCTCAATCCAGCTCTCTCCGTCGCTTGACGAGGCCGGGCCATTTGTCACACTCATAGGCGGCACTGTCTCCTCCCCTTCTTTCGACTCGTCATCGAGAAAAATCGGTTTGCCATCATCGTCCTTAGCTTTCGGCGAGTCAGCGTCCCAGCCAATCTCTTCCTCCTCATCGTTCAGAGCTAGTATGCCACATTTCACCAACAAACCAACAAGGCGTGATCAATCAGCACTCACAAGTACAAGCACCTCAACTCAAGCCACACGCACGCACCTTGTTCCACCAAGTTTGCTCCGCGTATCTCCTGTGCAGCCAGCAGCGATGCCTTGTAGATATAGTGGGTCCAAAACACATCTGACCCGACAGCAGACGGGACCAACTCGGCGACCTTTTTGCCCACCGTCGGGTAATTCTCCAGCACTTCCTTCTCCACCTCCGCGAGATCTTCAGCCAATATCTCGCTTTTCCACTTCTCAAAAGCTTCCACGTCCACAGGTGGCTCAATGTACGTCTTTTCATCTCCTTGAAGGGCCAGCAGTCGAAACCTCCTCGCTGCCAATGCACTTTCACTTACATTTTGCTCGTCTTCATAGGCTGCTTCTCCAGACAACGAGCCCAGAAACTCGTCGGCCGAGTTCAGGAACTTCGACCCCATTGCTTCCAGCGATTCCAAGCTACCACCAACCGTCAGAGACGTCAATTTACTGCCTACTGACGTCAGAGATCCTTGTACGGAACTCAGTGACTCCTGCATGGAGCTGCTTACGGCAGTGAGTGGACCAAATGAAAACAGCGACTTCTTCAACGACGTCAACGGGTCCACTTCCTGCACGTCTTCACTCTGCGCTTCCGTCCCACCCACAGCCTCTTCCTCTGCTTCAGCTTTCTCATTCATCTTGATTTCACCATGCTCCTCCGAGTCGCAGGTCTCTGCACTTGGACGACTGCCGTCCGGTCTATTCGGTCGCATTTGCTTCGATAGCTCGGCCACGTCCTCCTGGACGACCGACTTGAACTCCTGCAGGTCCGAGCTCAGCGTCGTCATGGCCTCAGCCGACTTGTCTTTGATCGCATTGACGACAGAGTAGAAACTGCTGAACGACATACTGTGAGGGGGTGTTACCTGCAGATAAGCAAACAGCGCACCAGAAGACCAAACGAAGGCGACGTCTGCGCCACTTTTTGTTTTGGCTCCTGCTAAGAACACACTCGGAAGAAAAAATGCAGCCGCCGTCGCCGGGCCCCGTAATTTACCGTTTTTTCTTTGTTTTTTACGCACAAACGTACGGAAAAATGGGTCTGGGTCAAACGTACTTTACGTGTCAGACGGAAAGCGACACTCGAGTGGGGGACACAGCGCATATCGGTCTCGACAAGAGCTCTTCCTTATTTTGCAATTGATCGGAAATGACTGGAAGCTTGACGATCCGGAAGCCTGCGCCCGCGTTCACGGCCGACGCGGTGGTCGATGGCAAGTTCACGAAGATCTCGCTGGCCGACTACCGAGGCAAGTACGTCGTGCTGTTCTTCTACCCCATGGACTTTACCTTTGTGTGCCCGACCGAGATCTGCGCGTTCAGCGACCGCGTCGAGGAGTTTGAAAAGCTCAATACGCAGGTCATCGGCGCGTCGATTGACTCGAAGTTCACGCACTTGGCGTGGATCAACACGCCGCGGAAGAAGGGCGGGCTGGGTGAGATGCACATTCCGCTCGTGGCAGACGTGACGAAGGAGCTGTGCATGAAGTACCACGTGACCGTCGAGGACGGCGATGAAGTGGGCGTGGCGTTCCGCGGTCTCTTTATCATTGACAAGGAGGGCATTTTGCGGCAAATTACCATCAACGACCTGCCGATTGGTCGCAACGTGGACGAAGTGCTGCGGCTGCTCGAAGCGTTTCAGTTTCACGAGGAGCACGGCGACGTGTGTCCGGCGAACTGGAAGAAGGGCAGCAAGGCCATGACGGCGGGCCCGAAGGAGTCGCTGCAGTACTTTGAGTCGCTGGAAGAGCCACTGAAGAAGCGCAAAGTTGCCGCGTAAAGTGAGTCGATCGGGGTCAACGTTGTTTCGTAAAAGTAAACATAATGACCTTTAGCTAAGAATGGGTCTGATTTTCGCCTAATCCGCGGTATGTAGGTGGGAAAAACGTGCCGCATTGTGCCACTTGCACGGCTATGTCGTTCGACAGGTGGAGTAAAAGTAGTCCGATGGTATACGTATGCAAAGTAGCGACGACGCTGAAGTAACACCACAGCACTTCACCCAGCGCGGCAAGCCATTCCGCACTGATGGTGGCCATCGGAAACCAATCAAACGGCCGAAGCAACGCGCGCAATCCGTACAGTCGCGGCGGTGGCTCGGCCTGGGCGCGCAGCTCGCAAGGCGCACGCGCCAATGCCGTCCGCACGCGTCCCGGCCGCGGCATGACCGAAGCGAAGGCGTACGCGCTCCAGAAAGGCGACGAGCTCGACAGCAAGTTTGGCTTCAAGTTGCTGCCCGCGCTGCTGGAACAAGAGCAAGCGCTGCAAAAGGAAACGGCCGCCAGCAGCATCAGCAGCAACGACAACGTACCAAAGGCGGACCGCGCCAGGCTCGGCTGGCTCTTGAACCTGCGCGCCTGTACGCTGGCCGACCCGCTCGACGGCAAGCACGAAGTCAGTGGCCTCGAGCTGTACTTTCTCGAGCAAGACGGCAAGGCGTTCAAGACGCGGATTGTCTATGCCCCGTACTTGTACGTCCGGCCCGAGACAAACCGGTCGCAAGAGGTGCTGGCGTACTGTCTCCGGCGCTTTGACGGGCTCGTGGTGAAAGCCGAGCGCGTGTTTCGCGCCGATCTCGACCTGCCCGACCATCTCCATGGCCACAAAAAGGCGCTCTACGTCAAGCTCAGCTTTGCCACTGTGACGGACTTGATGCTGGTCAAGCGCGAGCTCGCGCCGCTGGTCGCGCGGAACCAGGAGCGACTGCACGCGCGCCAGGCGTACGAGATGCAGGGCCGCCAGACGAACGAGCACGTGACTGAGGACGATTTGGGTTTCTTTGGCGCAGACGGGACTGGTGCAGTTGTTCATGGCGTTTCAACAGCTGATGAGAGCGAGAGTTCGTTGCTCGAGCTGAGAGAATACGACGTGCCGTACGCTATGCGAGTGGCCATTGATCTGGACATTCGAGTGGGTGCGTGGTACCTCGTAAATTATGATCCGACGGCTCCGTATGCGCCGTCAGATGTGAGGCGGCAGAAGGATATGGTGGAAAAAGCAGAACCTGTGGTGTGTGCGTTTGACATCGAGTGTACAAAGGCGCCGTTGAAGTTCCCTGATGCCCAAGTCGACCAGATTTACATGATTTCGTACATGATTGACAGACAGGGCTATTTGATTGTAAATCGCGAGTTCGTGTCGGAAGACATTCAGGACTTTGAGTACACGCCTAGAGAAGCGTACCCTGGCCCTTTTATTGTGTTTAACGAAGAGAACGAGGAGCAACTACTGAAGCGGTTCTTCGAGCACGTGGTCGAAGAGCAGCCGCATATTTTCGTGACGTATAACGGCGACTTTTTCGATTGGCCGTTCATTGAAACGCGGGCACAAGTGCATGGTATCAACATGGCGCATGAAATTGGCATATCGCTGGATGAGCGGAGCGGCGAGTACCGTGGACGTTGCAGTGTGCACATGGACGCGTTCTGCTGGGTGAAACGAGATTCGTACTTGCCTCAGGGAAGTCAAGGCCTGAAAGCCGTGACAAAGTATAAGCTCGGGTACGACCCAGTGGAGGTTGACGCAGAAGATATGGTTGCCTTGGCCCGTGACGAGCCGCTGAAGATGGCGTCGTATTCGGTCTCCGATGCTGTCGCGACTTTTTACTTGTATGATAAGTACGTGCATTTATTCGTGTTCTCGCTTTGTACGATCATCCCTCTGGGATCTGAAGATGTACTGCGAAAAGGATCTGGCACGCTTTGCGAAGCACTGCTAATGGTTGAAGCTTTTCAAGGCAACATCATTTGCCCGAATAAGCAAAGCTCGGCCCGTGAAGAGACTTTTTACAAAGGACACCTTGTGGAGAGCGAAACATACGTTGGCGGTCACGTGGAGTGTTTAGAGTCGGGTGTGTTTCGTGCGGATTTCTTATACGATTTTCAATTGGAACCCAGTGCATTTCAGCAATTGGTCGACAACATTGATCGTGACCTCCGGTTCTCTCTGGAGATCGAAATGAACGTCCCACTTGACCGTGTTGCCAACTATGCAGAAGTAAGAAAGAACATTGTCGATTGTCTCGTTGCACTTCGCGAGCGACCGAATCGGAAGGAACATCCGCTGATCTATCATTTGGACGTAGCTGCCATGTACCCAAATATCATACTGACGAACCGGTTGCAACCATGTGCGATCGTAAACGAGGCGGACTGCGCAGCGTGTGCGTACAACACTGAGTGCGGCCGTGCTGCTATCAAGGATACGAATTTGTCATGTCAGCGTGAAATGGACTGGGTATGGCGGGGCGATTTCTACCCTGCCACTCGACCTGAATACTATTCCATCAAAACGCAAATCGAATACGAAAACTTTCCTCTCGACAAGAAGGGAGGTGCGGTCAATGGACGTACAGCAGAGAAAGCGAATGGTGCTGAGTCTGCCGTGCCCTTTGCTCACCTTCCTGCTGATAAGCAAGAACTGCTACTGAAACAGCGATTCAAGAGTTACTGTTCTAGTGTGTACAAGAAGACGAAAGTGACGGAAGAACAAAAACGCTCTGCGACTGTCTGCATGCGCGAAAACCCGTTTTACGTGAACACCGTGCGCGCGTTTCGAGATCGTCGCTACGAGTACAAGGGACTGACAAAGGTCTGGAAAAACAAAGTGTCCGAAGCCGCAGATGCGAACGATCTCCTGGCGAAGATTGATGCTCAAAATAAGTGCCTTGTGTACGACTCTCTCCAACTGGCACACAAGTGTATTTTAAACTCATTTTACGGTTATGTCATGCGCAAGGGGGCGCGGTGGCACTCGATGGAGATGGCCGGTATCGTGACGCACACAGGCTCGAATATCATTACCGGCGCTCGTGAGCTGGTGGATCGAATCGGACGTCCGTTGGAGCTAGATACCGATGGTATATGGGCCATTCTCCCGAAGTCGTTTCCCGAAACGTTTGTGTTCAAGCTGAAAAATGGCGGGTCTAAGAGCATCTCGTATCCGTGTGTAATGCTGAACGCAGATGTGCACGCCAAATTTACGAACCCGCAATATCACGAGCTTGACCCAGCTACTGGAGAGTACAACACACACAAGGAGTGTTCTATTACTTTTGAAGTAGACGGCCCGTACAAAGCGATGGTCATTCCTGCTTCTACAGAAGAGGGAAGATTGTTGAAAAAGCGTTATGCAGTTTTTAACTTTGACCATTCGCTTGCTGAACTCAAGGGCTTTGAGCTCAAGCGACGTGGTGAGCTCCAGCTGATTAAGGCGTTCCAGTCTCAGGTGTTCGAGTGCTTTCTTGACGGCGATAGCCTGGAAGAGTGCTATGCATCCGTCGCCAAGTGTGCGAACCGATGGCTAGACGTGATCGATACGCGAGGCAAATCGATGGATGATGGTGAGTTGTTGGCATTGATTACTGAGAATAAAAGCATGTCCGGCAAGCTGGATGAGTACGAAGGACAGAAGTCGACATCGATTACCACCGCTCGGCGGTTAGGTGAGTTTTTGGGCGAAGAGATGGTCAAAGATAAGGGTTTAAATTGTAAAATGATCATTGCTGCACGTCCGTATGGTGAAAAGGTGACCGAGCGTGCTATTCCCACCGCCATCTTTGCTACGGAAGATGCTGTGAGGCGGCATTTTCTGCGGAAATGGTTGAAAGATCCCCAGCTGCAAGATTTTGATATTCGCTCGATCCTTGACTGGGACTACTACCGCACGCGTTTTGCGTCGACGGTACAAAAGATCATTTCGCTTCCAGCTGCGTTCCAGAATGTTAGGAATCCAGTGCCTCGCATTGAGCTGCCAGACTGGATGAGAAAACAAGTTCGCGAGAAGAATGCCAAGCATCAGCAGGGCAATATGAAACAGTTTTTCAAGGCTGCAGTCAAGAGCACTAGCGATGGCGACTATGTTGCCCGGTTGATCGATATGGAGGATCTGGAAAAAGGAAATGATCCTTTGCGATCGAGAAGACCATTTCCGCTACAACGGAAGAAGAAAAGGAGTGATCGCGACGACGACAGTACCATTCCGATTCAACCTCTCGATGCTCATAGTGCGGAAGGCGTGTCTGTGGTGGCAGTAAAACTAGGAGAAGTGCCATTTACAGATTGGCTGAAACATAGGAAACAAATGTGGAAGGCTATGCTTGGGAAGCGGAGACGAGAGCGTGAAGAACGCATGCAAAAGTTTGGCGGTGTCGGGGGATTTGGCATGTCGAATGGTGGTCGTGATAGCACCAAGCGTTTTCAGATCGAGCCCACGAATGCTCGTGCAGCAAAGGGCAATGGTGTCGGCATGGAAAACTTCGTTGTCAACGCAACGAGTGCGCTCCAGCGCGAGTATTGGCAAATCGTCGAGATACAGCAAGAGCAAGGCGGGCTATTCACTTGCTGGGTTCTAACTGCTCATTCGCAGATGCTGCAGCGCATTACGCTGAAGATGCCTCGCGTATTCTACATTACGTGCAAAGAGGCAGATCACGAGTATTTGCTGTCTTTGCTGCCGGGTTCGAGACGTGTATCTCGTATCGTGCCCCACTGTACATCCAAGCCGCAATCGGTTTTGGAGGTGACGCTGAGCGAGCGGCAGTATCAACAATACCAGAAGGAAATTGGCCAGATTCTTGGTGACCCGCATGTAGACGGTGTGTACGAGCTGCAAGTATCAACTTTGACGCGCGCCGTCTGTGCGCTTGGCTGTGTAGCCAAGGTCGTCAACCCGCACATGTCTTCCAGTAACAATCAAGAGTACGAGCTGGGTGACCTGCAATTCCAGTCTACGGCTCAGGTGCCTTATCTCTTGGAACCTCAACGCTCGTTTGCTAGTGATAAAGAGGCCTCACCGTCGCCATGCTCGCTCATGCGACGAGTGCTGCTCTACTTCGCTCAGCAGAAAAAACGCGCTATCCTGGGTCTGGTCGTGCTGAAAGAAGGCGATGATGACGTCAGGGAAGATACTCTGAAGAATGGTGTGAGCGAGGGCGACGCGATCGTCTGGTACGTCGACCCATTTTCCAACGCCAAGTCTCAAGGCTCGAGTCTGAGCCATTTCTTCGAACAATTGCTTCGCGAGTCCCAAAAAGAAGGCGACACCGCTACTATTCAGAGCTGTTCATTCAAGACGCACGTTGTGAAGACTACGCAGGAAGCTTTTTCAGGTGTAAATGTTGCCCTTGCACGACTGGCCTCAAACAAGCAGCTTGCCTCGAAGCCGACAATCGTAGTGGCACAGACATGCATTTCATCCAGCAAGCGTTTACGTGAAAAAATGCAGGGCCTTCACAGCTTCCCCATCGCTATACTTCCTTGGAACGAAGAGGACACACTGTTCCCGGCACTCACGTGGCGCAAGCTGATGGGAGAAAAGCTGATCACCCGGTGTTTTGAAATGACGCAATACTTTTTGGATGTGCTAGAGTGCGCACGATACGCACATTTGCCTGCGGGCAACTTTACTGGAGACCACTCAATTGCTATACTAGATACGCTGTACTCTCGTATCTTGACCAAGCACAAACATTTGTGGTGGCATTCATCAACGTCTTTGCCGGATCTTGGCGGCAAGGAGCAAGAGCAACAATTCCAGCAGCTATTCAGTCAATCCCTGCTTGGGTCATCGCTAACAAACAGCGATGCAGTTTCCCAGCACGAGGTCGATACGTCTGCTGTCGTATGCGAGAAAGGGTCATTTGTCGACGTATGCGTCGAGCTGGAATTAGATGGCCTTGCCGTCAATGCGATCCTCGTTGCGTCTCAGATCCATAGCATCGAAGGCCTGGGCGTTGCCCATCAGATGGAGATTGATTTCGATGGCAACGGTGGGGGAGAATCTGCCAAGGCAGAAGGTCCCACCCCTGCTATCGCTGAAGGTGACGCCGAGCAGAATTGTCACGAAGCGTTCCGACTGCTTCGTGTTATGGTAACAACTCTGTTCAAGGACTTTCTGGCCACCCGCAACAAGTTCGCCGATCACGTGCTGCAGCAGTTTTACCGCTGGCTCTGTTCGCCAAACTCTTTGAGCTTCGACCCCGCGCTACATGCAATGGTGAAGCGCTTGATGGAAAAACTGTTCTTGCAGCTTCTTGCAGAGTTTCGTCGCCTGGGGTCACAGATCGTCTATGCCGACTTCAGCAAAATCATTGTGTGCACAAAGAAAAAGACGGAACGTGACGCGCAGATCTCCCTTAATTTTATTTTGCAAACCGTACTGTCCAACGAGCTGTTTCAAGTGCTTCATTTTACTCCAAAGAAGTATTTCTCGAATTTGTTGTTTCTGGACGCGGAAAATTACGGCTGCATTATGCTAAAAAGCGTGAGGCCGGAAGGGACTCACGAAGAAGAGAGCGATCATGGTATGGCTAGTAGTGATGAGAGAACTTTGGAGATCGTGTCACATTGGAACATTGCAAACTACTTGCCCCGTGGCGTGGACGAGTATTTCTTAATTTTGGTAGGTCAATTTATTCGTCGGCGAGCTGAATTTCAGCTACGCGAGCGTCGACGGATAGCAAACGGTGCCGATGCCAAGCTTGTCGCTGCTGACGACGTTGATGAGCAGCTCATTGATGAGGACGAGACGCACTGTAGCCCACTTGCCAAGTACTCCCAACGGCTTGTATCGTCGTATTTTTCAGACAAACTGCTGCGTGTGGTTCCGGAAATTCTAACATACAACATGGATCGAGACAGCTTTCCAGTGTTTGCCGGGTCGCATCTCCTAATGGAGTCACCCGCGTTGGAGCTAGTGAAGTTTGTAACTGCAGTATTCCTGCTGGAACCAAGCGTCGAAGCTCAAGTTGGCAAGATGAGACGCACTCTGCTGAAGTTGCTACACAAGAGCGAGTTCTCCGATGAGACTCATTTTCGCAACCCGTCGCTATCGTTTACGGTACAAGACGTCATTTGTCTGTGCTGCAACTTGTGCCGGTCGATTGATTTGTGCCGTGATCCGCAGCTCTTTACGGGTAGTGCGTCGTCGCACCCGGATGAAGACAATGAAGAGCTCGAAAATAGGGAGGATTCGGATACTTTGTTTGCGTGGCACTGTCCTCGTTGCTTTGCGTTGTACGACAAGACTGCGTTTGAAATGCGACTGGTGGAGACGGTACAGGCTCAGTCGGTGGCGTACCAACTCCAGGATCTATACTGCCGCAAGTGTCGTTTGCCAGCTGAGCACAAAATGCGCGAGTATTGCCCATGCTCAGGCACGTATGCGTTACTGCCTGGAGTACGTGAATCGCTGTTGGAGACGTTGCGTCTGCTCAACCGCGTCGCGCAACAACATAACTTTGAGTGGCTTCTAGAGACTGTACAGCGCCTGGGGCGTGAGGCCGTGCAGCCACCGCTGATAACAAATGGCAACATTACGTCAGCATAAGCGAGATTGTCCTGGTCATTCCACTCGCTGACCTTTGCAGCCGGCAAGAGGGACTGCTAATGGATCCAAATGTTTACAACTTGTGCGATAGGCTGCGCTGGTAATCGCGACGGTCACAGACCCCGCCAATTGATACGAGATAGCCTCAGTTGGACGTAGTTCTGATCTCATTGTGGACTACATCGCTACATGATGACGAAACGGTTTCGATTCGTCCACACGATGATCAGAAGCACGCAGGACGACGTGAGCGATCGACCTTGACGTACGGTCCGGGTAAATCGAGTAATTTGAGACACTTGAGGCACAGGCTTATCAGCGATTGACTCGAACGTGCCGAGTACCGAGCGCGCGAGGTGCCAGCCCTTCGGTCCATTTTCAACGTCATTGGCGGCCGCGTAAGTGGATTCGTTTGTGCGATACATGTCAACGCGTCAAACCTGCTCCTTCGACACAAGCTCCGCTGTACCCCTTGCCCATCGCCATCGAAGCCTTGCGATCGGTGAGCATGGACTTTGTTTTTGGCCTTCCAGCTGATGCGCAGGGGCGCACCGGCATTCTCGTGGTTGTCGATTGCATCAGCAAGATGGCGCATCTTGCTGCCGTCCCCGTTTTTATCACTGCGGAAGAAACGGCGACGCTTTTCGTGGACACTGTATTTTGTCATCATGGCATGCCGACCACGATTATATCAGACCGTGACCCGCGTTTCACCGCCGCCTTTTGGTCGCGGCTGTTCGAGTTGCTTCTTTCTCGTCTGTTGATGTCGACTGCTGCACCCCCAGAGACGGATGGACAAACGCCATGAAACGAAGATCTACGCGAATACTTTAAGTAGCATCACATGTGAATCCAATGACGTGCATACAAGTCCTCGCTCGTGACGTCCTCACGGAACGTCAACCGAGCAAAACGTATCTAGCACCACTATTACTCGTGGTACGATACACAAACTATAAGTGTCGCGCATAACAAAAGCGCTGAAGAATTATTGTTGTTGGCATCTCGGTCATGTTTGCTGTTCAATCCTTTGTTTTGATCTGTGGATGCTTGTGTTTGACAAGCATCCACAGACTGCTGTTCGCACTGCTAGCAAATGTGTCAAACATTTGCTAGTAGTGCGAACAGCACTCAGCATCTTGTGACGCAATTGCAAGGTAACGCAATAGCGCACTTGCAATAGCTTACACGTCGAGCCGATGGCTCACAGCTCTTATCACGAACGCCGTTGCTGACAAAGCAATGAGTTGCGATGAAATCGCAGGTAAGATCAAGTGAGCACCGTAGGCATCCAGCTTTGGGTTCTGTACGTGCTCTGGCAAGTGAAATGTGATGATAGTAATCGGTAAAACTACATGTTCATTGTCACAGCAATCATCTTCAGGCTTTGTACATGCGTTAGTGACGACAATCCTGTCGACTTGTGCTCTTGCAAGTCACCGACCTTGTCGATAGTTTTGCGACTTGTACATGTATTTTGTTATCAGTAATGATCATCGACACGCAAATGCCGTGCTAGCACGTTCTGTTGACACTACAATGACCATCTACAAATTATGGCACCAGTGCGCATATCTGACGGATGCTTTGCGCCATCTCCGTGATACGGCTACCCACAAGTTGACAAAGCAGATGAAGAATCTCGAAAGTATTGACGCTTGGTGGTCCATTCAGCAATACTACCACAGCTGTCGCCAGGTGTGATGAACCGTTCATATGAAGATGACGCAGTCTTATGGCATCACCAAGGTCAGCCCATGGTAACGATTCAGACAGCTCCATCGTGAGTAAATCTCAAAACCAGTACCACAAATGCACAAAAGTCCCAAAACCAGTACTATACTCAACTTAAGTATAAAAAACACGCTAAATAGTGTCAACCACATTATACTAAACTGCAACATGGGACAAGAAACTGCTCGATTGCTAGGGATAGGCGAGGCGGCAGAAAGTAACTCCTACAATGGCAGGAAGTTAGGCAGGAAGTGAGGCAACAAGCAAATTAAATATACATTTTTGGCCCTTTTGCGCCCGGTGTTTACTTCCTAAATAGCTACCAGCCACCATCGTATCTCTATTAAATCGTCGTGTTGTGCAGCCTTGAATAAGGTTGGCATCATACTGTTAAGGGATTGTTTGAAGCAGCTGGCGAGATGCCTTTGGGAACACGCGCGAGTAAAAGCGGTGGGCCCATTCCAAACGGGCCTGCGTACATCGTCAAGTGTTGCTCCTCTTGCGGTGCTATTATCTGCGGCTGGTTTGCTCTAGTGGCGGCAGTGGCTGCTGGAACGCAACTGGTCCTTGTGGAGCTACGGGTGCGCCAGATGACACATTAAGCAAATCCCTTTTGACCTTCGCGAGATGTTGTTGCGAAGGCGGCGCTTGATCCATGGAGGCTTGGGCTGGAGGAATCTGCTGCTGATGGCGGTGGTCGCTCCAGCTCGATGTACGACGTGTGGAGGTACAACCTGTTTGACGGGTAGCAGTAATCGTGGGGCGTGCGTTCGCCCCGACACGTCGAGCCCCAGGCATTGGGGCCGGTGCACCGAGAATGACGCCAAATATAGCCGAAGCAAACATGTACCGCTCGTCGATGGTGCCATATGCAGTATCATCTTTTATGGGATCGTAGTTCTCGTAGATGCTCGGGCTAGCGTACTCTTGCTGCGGTTGGATGTTGGGAAGACTGGGTAGGGTACCGTCCCTGGCCGCCGATAGCGGCAATAGGTGGATGCGTATCATACTTACCTTGTACCCGTAGATGCCCTAATTACATTGGTTATACGGATTGGGCAGGCCAGTGTCCACAGGTATGTCAGCTCCAGTTGGACCAGGTGCGAGGTTGTCGGGTGTGGGTATACCCATAGGACCCCACACGTTCTTAACCACTCCGCGCTTTCCAGCATCGAAGCCCTTAATAGAGTCTGGGCCATTAGACCGCCGAGCCTAGGCGTGCCGCCCTGACCACCGATGTTACCCAATCGTTCGCTCCGAACGATCCTTGCTGGTCCACAAGGGGAAGATTGGTCGGACTCGGAATTTAAGGCTTCTACAGCTGCTTACATGGCGATTTAAAAGAGGCACGGTACGAGCTGGTAGCTATATGAATTGTTAGCATCGGGCACGAAAGGGCCAATCGAATGTATTTCGACTTACTTGCTGCCGCGCTTGCTGTCATTGCCTGTGTCACTTACGACCCTCTCGCTCTCCCTAGCAATCAAGCAGTTTCTTGTCCCATGTTGCAGTTTAGTATAATGTGGTTGACACTATTTAGCGTGTTTTTTATACTTAAGTTGAGTATAGTACTGGTTTTGGGACTTTTGTGCATTTGTGGTACTGGTTTTGAGATTTACTCCTCAATCGTTGAGTGGCTGACGGCTTCGAAATGCACCGACGTCGGAAGCTGCCAAGTTTTCTACAACTAGCTATAATTGCAAAGTATGCGTTGCTCTCTTGTCAATATTCTATGACCACACATCCCATTGCGTCCACGTGTACGATCACGTGTACATCTGGTGATACCTGTGGTGTGTGTTTCCGCGTGACATAATGAAGGAGCAATGAACAGCGAGCATTTTCTCACCAAATTTGCTGATCGGTGTCGTGTTTTGCGGGTCGACGCTATTTACAAAGCCGGTCATTCCTGTAAAATGCTTGTAAATTGTAGCAGCTCTGGAGCAACGACAATACTTATCACAGGACGACTCGCACTCGGAGTGATTTCTTCTCGATACAGCGAATTCATCAAATCAGCGTAAATGAAGACACGTGGCGTCATTATTGCACGCTAAGCGGAAGTGCAAAATGCACAATCAGGTTGGTCAGCCCGCAGTCAAGCAAGTATGCGAAATGACAAACATAAAGCTACTCGACAAGTATTTTTCTAACTTCGATCGATTGCGCAATATCCGTACGATGCACTTGCATCTACATAGAACATCATTTGCGTAAGTCTACACATCTGCGCATGACTTCGATGATCTCGAGCAACAGTTTAAGCCACAGCAGTGTGTAAAATCAGTCGTGTGAGCGAACATGTTTGTCGATTGCAATCCATGTCGGAACTGTCGGCTAAGAAACAATTATCATCCCGCGTGAAGTTCCACTTGCTCAACAAGACAGTAGGAAGAAGCGATAATGACGTCATCTTTCTTCAGTTGTGAAGAACAAGAGGTCATTTGCCGAGAATAAGCAGAGTGCTTCGGCAATTTGATCACCGTAGTGACAAAAAGAGCAACGATGATGACGTGAAAAGAATGAGACGCCCCGACAATCGGATATTCATACTTGCATTGTAGTTCTTTGCAGCGTGGGGCAACTATTAGCTACAGTGCACCTTTGTTCTTACTGTTCATTCGAGTACCACAATGTGTCGCCTGATCTAGGTGTTTCATTTAGTGGGGATTATGAGGACACGAAGTTATTGCAGACATGTTTTGTGCTAGTCTGTGTCGATCACAAGCGCACCTGCAACATTCCTTGAGCAGATCCTACGTATGATCTCGAGATGTTGATCTACAATATTCATGTTGCTTCACTAGTTCCATCTTGAGAAGTAGAACACACCTGATCGATACTTTTTTGTTGGAAATGCGTGAAGAAGGTGCCGTTGCAACAACCATTCTTCTTATCGCAAGAGGATATACTTGGAATGACAATGCCGGTGACGTGTCAAGCACGACCAAGCTTGCGCTTTCACAGAACTCCTACGCGATCGCTCCAACGTGATCGTGCAGTATACCACAGCGAGCAAGTTTGCTAAACTGCAAAATCAAACGCATTGATGAGTCGTCACTTTGCATCCAGCCGGTCGTTGTGTGTGCAATGATACACGGACAGGAAGTCATGCCTTGGCTTTTGATGACTGCTCATATTCGTGCGAGAAACGCGTAGATTGACCCCTCTGGTACGGTGTGTTCATGATAGTGCGATAGGTTTTGTTCATCCAGAATCCGTTGCTTGCCTAAGTGTGCAATTGTGTTGATTTTCATCGACTTTTAACCCTCAGCTGAAGCTCGTAGCTGCATTTGCAGTTAAACACATTTCTTTCCTGATTAAGCGGTAGCGTGCATTCTTGCCGAGAAAGCAACGGACCCAGTTTGCAGGTAGTATCAGATCGACACTTATCGATTTGACGCTGCTTCGAGATTCAAAATCTAATGCTCATGAGTAATAAGTCTGGCGAGTCACCGTTCTTCCATCTGCAACACTTTGCAAGACTCATGTGAGAGCAACGACGACACCGACAAGTTGTCGGCCACATCAATCTCCTACAGCAGTCGATGTTGTTTTGTACTTCGGGCAAAAGCCAAGCCTAATTGCAGTTCACTGATGACGCACTTTGTAGACTACAAAGGGGCAATACTAGTATTTTGCAGCCGACACATTGGCTTGACAAGTAACCAACCTTTGCTCAAGCAACCGTCTGATAGACGTAACTCGAACATACAACCACAACAAACAACGGCACGTCAATCGTCTGTCTTCAATTTGTTCACTAACTGATCGCCACGACAATCTCCATGCCCGCACAGCTATCCCAAAGCTTTGCACAGTGTCAAACATCCATGTCAGTAGAATGGGATACACTGACTTGACCACCTCATTTTACCCGAAGCAATGTATAACCAACATCCGTCTTCTTCGTTTGCCAAAAATCACACAAAGCGCTTCAACTTCGTGCGAGAAACACTAGCTACTAGCTACTGTATCTACAGATAAAAACTGTGCATGCCGACATCCAAACGTGCGGTTCCGCTCACAGCACGCTGATGTTATCGCGAGGGGTGCGGAAACCAGCCAGTACGCCCTGAGCCCCTGAAGAAAGCGGAGTCTTCGTCTCAAGTTCGTCCAGCTCTGCCTTCTTCTTCCGCACAACCACAATCGCAGCAGCAGCTACCATACCCACAAAGCCGCCAATGGTCAACACGACATACGGCGTGTGGTTCGTGCCGCTTTCCTCCGACCTGTTATTCACCTGCTGCACGTTCTCGTCCTTTTCATTCGTAACGACAAGTGGAGTCTTCCCCCCAATCTGCTGCGTCTTGTCGTTCGTCGTCGGCTGTTGGGCCGTTTTGCCAGCCGTCGGCTTGTGCACTTGAGAGCTTCCCTCCATCCCAGACTTGTGCTGTGGCACGCTTTCATTGTCAACTTTCCGCAACTTGTGACCATCGACTACAGTCTTCGAACCAAAAGTCCTGGACACCTGCTCACTGTTGCGCCCTTCTTTTTCTTCCTCCTTCTTCTCGTCCTCCTTCTTCTCGTCCTCCTTCTTCTCTTCCTCCTTTTCCTTCTCCTCCTGTTCCTCCTGTTCAATCTGTTCCTCCTGATCTGGTGATTCGTCAGCATCAGGAGCTGGAGCCGTTTGCTCCGTCGACGGAGTCGTAGAAGGCGACGGGACCACTACCGGTATCGATGTCGTTGACAATGGCTCCGTCACGATTGGTGCTGGTGCTGGCGCGGGCGCTGGAGCTTCCACCGGTGCCAGCGTCGGCGCCATTTTTGTCGGAGGCGGTGCGGGAGGCGATACCGCAGGCGGCATCGGCTCTTTTCCAGAGCCACCAGGACAGAATGTCAAGTCAAAGTCCGTAGACAAGGGACACGAGTGTGTCTTTGTGTCGTCCAGAGGGAACTGGTACGCTTGAGCACATCCGTCGAACAAGCACGTGAGCTCAATGCAGCGATCGCCGTCCTGCATGTGGGGTGTGATCTGCATCGGGACGTTGAAACCGACGCCGCCCGTATACTCCTTGCAATGTACGAGACTCGTACAGTAGTCAGGCTACAGATCGTTCACATACACAAAATCACACAGAAAGAGAGACACACATAGGACGTTGACGTTAGTTGTTTGTACTTTCATTCAGGAGAAAGAGTAAATGTATGCAAACGAGCAACAAACAAAGGCACAACGTACGCCCTTCTTGTCCCCAGTGGGTATAATACTAATGTCGAGCCAACACTTTTCGCCTTGAGCCGAGAACTCCGCCACTATGTCATGATAAAAAAACAAAGCAAAATTGACACGAAAAACACAATCGACCAAAACGAACGACAAAAAAACAAAAATAGAATACACACACAATCACGTGTCAGTCTCGCTTTACTCGTGCGCAAAGCATTGGTGGACGACGCGCAAGCGCGAGCAAAATAAACACGTACGAGTCGCTTGGGCGCCTATGCCCGACTTGAATACGTGGGAGCCAGTGCCGATGGGCATCACCTTGGTAATGGACCCCCCTGCAGAGACTTGGTCCGTCGAGACGCCACTCGGCGTGACATGGGCCAATGTCATGCTCTCGTCGCACTTGTTGGTCACGTAAACATTAATGCCCCGAGTGACACTACTCAGGAGCGCGAGGCTCATCACGGCACGGGACACTGTTGGCATCATCGCGACACACGCAATGGCTTTTCTGTAGCGTGTTTATGTCCCCACGTCGCAATAGACGCAGTACGTGGTGCAAGTCTCGTCACCGAGATGCACGAGCGTCAAGACAAATTCCCAAATGGACAAGCGACGCGAAGCTCTCTCTCTTTCTCTATCGATCTCGTTTGCTCTCTCTCTTTCTCTCTCTATTTCCCACTCTTTCCCACTCTTTCTCGCTCGACCAGTATATATCGTCGGTCTCTACCACGCGAAGGCACGACTTGCAGGAAACGGCATCCAGCTGGTAATGAGGAGAAAGTCAGAACGGGTTCCAAGCGACGGGCAGTTTGAATCCACGAACCAGAGTCCTTGCGCTCTTCTCACGCTCTCTCGAGCCATTGATCGATCAGAAGCCATAGACGACGACGGACGGAAAAGTAGAGAGGCGGAGACCACGAGCGTTACTGCCGTAACGAAGAGAGTGAGATACGCGAAACAACTGATGTCGCGCCATGTGGCAGGTAGCAGACGTGGCATCCATAGAGAGCAATAATGCCCACGAACGCCATTCACCTATAGCGATCCGTCTCGACGACAGGTAGCAACAAAAGAAGGCGTCGAAGTGCGACGGCGGTAGTCACGCTTGAACAAGCTCCAGGGCATTGGCACTCTCTGGTCATCGTTTGGTGTGCTTGAAACGACTGTCGATTGCAGATGAGCCACTCGACGACGCTTTAGATGTCGTTGAAACCACCGTCTCGCCGTGACTGACTGAAACGTCAGGTTATAGCTGGGGATGGTCGAAATGAAACTTGAACTCCCTTCCCCACCAAAACACCCCGCTGTGGCGATCGTTGGTAATTGGACAGACGCTCTATGGCATGGACGCTCCATGGTGGACCTTATCAATGTAGCGGCAGACAAAACGAAGCGACTGATAGAAATTAGGTCGCAGAAGCTGCGGTGGCAGGTGTACTGTTCTGCATCGGAGAACAGCCAGACCGTTGTCCATTAAGCGGTTTCTAGCCACCACAAAGCGATTGGAAACGGACTGTTTGTCGGCGTGTGCACTTGCAATAACATTCGAAGCGCACCATAACGTATATCGCTGTAAGACATGTGGCGCACACCGTAACGCATATCGCTGCAAGACTCGTCGACAAGTCGCGGTGTTCATTCTGTGCATCGTTTGAAACAAGACACATGTGGTACTTGCTCCGGAAGCACATAGGGCACTCTTGAGCTTCAACGATAGGCAGCGGGATGGACAATACATCGCGACACGTCGTCATAAGAGGGCAAGAACCCTGTCGTCAAACTGCATTGTTGAATAACATGCGACATCTTTTCGTGATGCGTAGCTAGCGCTTTGTTGCGGTCATGTAACATCGAGGAAATGTTCAAAGAGTACGCGATGTCGGTTCTTAATCGTTGACAGCAACGTACGCCCGAGCCACAATGACTTGCTGTCAGTTCCATTTGTCCTTATAACAAACAACCACACGGGCATCACTACACAACATATTGCCAGCCTAGAGGCTCATTGCGCTCTCTGTATCGAGCACACGGAATTGGAGACAAGTCAGATTTACGACAGCTTCGTCCACAATCGTCGAGGGTAGCAAGGCTATCTAGATTACGGGACAACGCAAATGTCGCTTATAACTTACGGAACGAACGACCTTGCGACGCGGCCAAAGAGAACACCGCTGAGAGTGTAGCTGCAACGCCGCAGGCATCTCCACTGTTACATCATCTCGCGTCCAACAAAGTACTGTCGAGACGAAGAGTTGTTACGAAATAAGGACCCTTGCAGGTTCAGGGGATATATGTTTGCCATCACATACGTGGTGCACATGCACGATCGTGACCTGCTCCTTAGCTATCTGCACGAGCTTGTGTCGCTGTGTGCGGACTGGCCTTTTTGCGAAAGACTGTACTGCACTGACTTGTCATACCACCTACGCGGACCTGCTGTCCTAGCCTGACTAAAGTCCACGGGCACTATAAGGATAGAGCATAGCAGATGCCTTCTTTAATCAGACTGGTCAGTGTCAAGTGATATCTACTTACTTATTTTAACTGTTGAGCGAGTGGCACGATAGACCTGCTGAGGCACTGAGATAAATTTGTGGCTCTTGTCGCCTACCCATTTATTGAATGATCGTGCATACCGAATCACAAGCACGCATTTTCTTTTCAGACCAAGTTTACTAATGTGCTCGAGTCGATGCAAGCATGCATCGCACAGTCACGTGTTCACCGAAATATAAAGATGCGATTGGTCGCACTGCAATCATGCCGTGTGCCTGAGCACAATGACGACTTACTAAACATTTCGATCGTCATACGATCGTAACTCCAAGCCTCCTTCGCTAATTCTTCGCATTGGCCATAACCTGCTTACTTCGTGCACCAACAATTTATGAAAATGGCTTAACATCTCACGTAAAAGACTGCACCAAATTGCCGGGTCGAATGCAATATTTTACGCCACAATTCCCTCGACATTTTTATCGTGCTGACCAGATTGTCTATAGGCGATGGTATCGGATTTATTGTGTGCATGTGCGCTAATCAGTTACCCCTCTTCGGCATCGTGCAAATTATGATGGCCAGTCTTTTGATAGTGTACCATGGTGATCCCATTACCCGTAATAAAACACTACATTAGGTCAATAAATATATTATCCTAATTAATATTTTTCTATACCATATATCTTCTTTTGTATAAGAAGTAGAAACGTAAACCCCAAATGTATTCTTTCTCACTGCGACATAAATTTGCGATAATGGTCATTCTGTCAACCACTTTAGACATCAACCAACGCTTGACGCGCGCAATCGGTGTTACGCGGGCAGTTTCATATCGATTTTAGAGTTTGGATACGATTAAGGAGAGTGGGATTTACATATTTACAAGAATTGACGATATATATATAATTCTACTTGTCCTTCTTGTAAACGTGTTTGAGATAAAATGAGCCTTTCGCTGACCTTACGTAAACTTGAGGTCCAGATGAATCTACTTGTTCTGTGATCAGAAAACGTAGCTTGTACTGTGTCATATCCAGCGCTCACTGCCCTGTTACACCCGTCGAGTTACCAAAGCCCTTTCTACAGCAGGCGGGTCTCTATAATATTACAAAAAATCTAAGGCTAAATATAGTATAGGCCGCGGCCAGTCCAAAACCTTGTAGGTATTAGGTCTTCTAAAGACTCGCTTGTATACGTCTAAGTCACCTGGTAGCAATTGTTTTGCCCATCCAAACTAGATTGTCCGTATGGCCATTTTCATTCTTAATGACCTCGGACGTATACTGTTGCGAGCTTTATTGCTGTATATATATGATTCAGATGACTTTAAATCAATGCAGCAATGGCATAAAATTATGCATAAGATATTGGATATAACGTCTTATGTTCGAATATTTGTTAAACGAAGATGCTTTGTGCGATAAGATCCTCTAGAAAGCTTATTCTATGGACGATGTGTAGGTTTTCGTAAATAAAATCACCTTTCCTCTGTAGCCGTCAAATTACGACCATATACTCAGTGCTCGACAACATGGTTAAGTATTCATGGTAGCAGAAATGATAGTTGATTTTTATTATCACTTCATTTAGTTCTTTTGACCTCATCTCCGACCAATCGTTTGAATGTGCTGATATATTTTAAAGATATAAGAATGGTATTGAAACAAATCCGCAGCCTTAACGATAATTACTACGGTGCTATATGATAAGAAAGGTGACAGATAGATACGCAGACATGGGCTTCATAGCTCACGCACTCTAGACTGCAGGATATTTGTTCAACTCGGTCCATCCAAATTTCTGCAACGACGAAAATTTATATATTTTTTCATTTCGACGTACAAAATCGATTCGACGATTGCTTCGATCATATTATCTTGTAGCCGAAGCGCTATTAAATCAATCATCTGTTGCACATAAAATTTTTTCAGCATTGCGCGTATGCAAATGTCGTATTGCTTATTTGGTAGAACGCAGTGCTCAAACATAACTGATTAAGCATAAAAACGATAGCGTACGTTTATTTTCATACCAACACTTATTGGATATGTAAGGCAATCATATATTCGAGTTGTTCCATCTTTCTAGGGTATGTTGCAATAGAGAATACGATGGTAAGACCACTCCGAACGACTCATGCCTTTTTATCACCATTCTTGGCGACTTTATTCTCTTGTAGTGACCCAGTGTCAATCGACCTTACATTAAAGTATTCATAGACCAATCTTTGATCGCTGTTTTTCATTCGCGACCTTGACATATGCTATCCCTAACCAACCACTTCTGTCGGAATAAGTAGACGACCTGGTCCATCTCGTGGCGAATTGTTTCGTATTGTTGACACATTGTTAGCCATAAGCATCAATGGCGTAGTGTAAAATGGTTTTTATCGTAAACAAGGCAATTAATGTGACAATTTCGAAACATGGTTGTCTGTAGATTACGACAACCAAACTACTGAGTAAATATATGTTACTTGAGGATCCCGTTACGAAACAATAGTAACAATTACTACTGTAAGATCGGCACGTGTTAAAGATATGGTATAGCCTTAGTACGTAATTTGTGTACATCCGACATTTTACATATAAGAAGAACAGGTATAATGTAGGGCACATAAATATATCGTCTTAAGCGCTTAGTGAAATTCAGCGTCACTTATAACACAATCAAATAGAATTAGAAATTTGCTATTTAGCCATCACATTAATGCTAATTGCCTCTCAGTCCCAAATTTATCGAAAGCTGATTGGTAAAAGTATAAAATGGGAACATCTCAATAAAAATATTCAAACCTTTATACGTCGCTAAGATATTATTGATCTTCTTGGAATTAAATGGATCAACGTGGTGTTGAACCGTTATCGCCATGTTGCTTCTGCTATAAATGTTCAACAAGCCTGTGATACAGGTGAATTATCTATTTTATAATGTGTGTCGTTTGCTGCTTTGGCAGCGTGTATGCTCATAATTACAGAAGGGTTTCA